AGCCCGCACAAAGGCAGGCTGCGGGTCTGCTCTCCTGCGAGAGACCCCGAGACGTTTTCTTAGGGCTGTGACAAACAGGCAGTTTGTTTTGATTCGGGGGGGGAGGGTTGAGAAGTTGTTTGTTTACTTTCACCTCCTCTAGAGCCTGAAGTCCTTGCGCAAAGCAGAAAGCCAAGCCAGAGAACCGGGCAGGATCGAAAGGAACCGAGGCTATTTTTCCAGCTTGTGCTGGGCTGAGGACTTTCGTCCAGTACTGGCAGAGATCACCAAACCCCATCGCTGCGAGCACTGCTGTTTGCACTACGCCTTCCCCACTATCAGAACTACCTACAAATAAAATTACGGCTCTACGTTGGTATGTTCGCCACACAAGTCCACCGATAGCTTCTTTCTTGAAGGCGTTAACTAAACTCTGTTTAGGGACCGGTTTATAACCAAAGTAGTTTCTTGTAAATCCACTTTAAATGAAATACGATTTTTCTGCTGCGCTTTTCCGGTAACAAAAATATTCTGAGATCCAGAAACGGTATTTAACGATCCAGTATTCCACCCCACTATTCGTTATATACACATGTGCATGCATAGACGCTATATAAAGATACATAAAGGTAGTATCATGCCACAATACTTGTTCCAGGAAAGAGCATTTGATATTGTTTAATTGTGCAGAGAAATACTAACTTTTTCAAAGAAAACCAAAACCTTTTAGATTAGAAATCACGTTCCATCCTTATAGCATAAAGGCTGTTTTTCAGCCAGTATTTCAGGATTAAATACTCTTACTCCCACCTTCAAGTAAATATCTAGATAGCACTAAGAGAAATAACACATACTGATGAAGTTTTAAAACCCGAGAACAGATACCTTTCTTGCATATGCCCGTATCAGCTTACAAGACAGAATTTAACCAAAATACGGGATCATTTCATTTCAGAATTATCATCTCTTAACAAAAGAGTAATATACACAAAATGTTGAATCAGTTAACACACTTCAGACATCTCTGCCACTTTGTTAGCTTAACTGGTTAGAAGGATGCATCTTTTTTATTATCTAAATGCATTAATATACAAGTACTACGCATCAGCAGACAGAAGATAAAAAGTGGTAAAGTTATAAAAATTCGCATCCATCCGTCTCCCTGAAACGTATCCTCTAGTTCTGTTTGCCATGTTCACAAACCCAGTGCTCGTGTACGTTACAAACATTTTAGAAATCATTACTTAAAGCCACTTGAGTTTGGTTTTTTTTGTTCATAAATGCTATAAAGACCAGCTCAGCGTAGACATCCTACCTGAGAAATAACACAGAATTGGATTCTCTGGTGTTTGTGTTTCCATTCTGCAGAACAAAACCTTGCCGTGCCCAAACGTTATCTGTATAAAAGCATACTTTGCCTCTGCCTAAAAACTTTGGAAGGCCGGACGCACTGGGGGAAGGGAAGGAGTCCTTGGGCGCTACCAAAAGGCTGGTCTAGCTTTCTGTTTTCTCGCAAGAGCAGTACCGTTCGTTTCACCCAAGCGTTAATATTGCCACGCACATTATTAATAATTAACAGTTCCATGCTTTTCCCCACGGTTTTATTTAATCTTTTGGGGTGCCTTTACCCTTAATTTTCTTCTGGTTTAGCATTTTGCACACGTTTCCCCCCGATCTGTTATTTTAAGGGAAAAGCTGTATCTTGGGGGGGTTTATTACGTTTAGGGGGTTGAAGGACTCTCCCATGCCTCCGCTTCCTACCGTTTCGGTCTCTCCCCTGTCTATAGCCGAGCTGATGGCCGGTGCTTCGCTTTTGGTTCTCCGATCCATCTCGTCGATGACCCCGTGCATCTCCGAGCCGGACAGACTGTGGAAAAGCATCGCTGAGGAAGCAGAGGAGGAGGCCCCGAGTCGCTGCTGCTGCTGACAGTTGTCGGGGTCCCTGCAGGAGCCCAGAACTTGCATTAACCGGAGCCCTCCCCCATGCATCTAGCACGGCCGCCCCGTCTCTCCTCGGGCTCCGGGCTCTCCACCCCGGCAGAGCTCTCCGGAGCGCGGCGCAGGCACCGATCCAGGCTCCGCGGGGACGGGGCGCAGCAGAGGCGGGCGAAGG